AACCAAGGCTAGAAACAGAGAAAAATCTCTCCTAAAAACTATATAATACCAAAATAAAAAAATATCCAAGAAAAAAGAAAACTATCTGCTACATTCTACACAGTTTTGGAACTGAAAGTCAACAGGGAGATTCCGTGATTACTATAATAACTAAGTAGATCCACTAAAGATTTATTTAGGTGTGAGTATTACAAAGTCATACTACCATGATTTAAAAGTCACAATAAGAATTCTTATCCAAATAATCCTTGACTAAATTTCATATTCCTCTATTGTGGGAAAGCTTTTCCTAATATAATCTTCCTGTCATTATGTATTTTCTAGCTCATTCTTTTTTTCAGCTCCAACTACTTCAAAGTATTTACCAATCCTCTGGTATTTATCAAAGTAAAACAAAAAACCAACTAGTCATATTTCTATAACATGGTTTTTCTCTGACCAAATTTCTATTGCACACATAAAACAACAATAGGTAGAAGACTACTAAATTCTAAACACCATACAAAAGTAAATTCAGAGCAAGAAAATTAATTTCACAAGAAAGCACTTTACCTCAGTATCAAAATCTAGGTCATCAATTGATGAAGGCCACGAATCATCAGGACCAGGTTTGTCAGAAAGCCTTTAGAGGAAAAACAGCCAATAAAAATGAGTGAGCTCATTTAAAAAAAAAAAAAAAAAACTGTTGAAAGGTTGGCTATCTGTATGTTAAATGATATTTCTTGATATTATAAATATTTGACCTCTGTTTTAAAAAAGCTTTTACATATTATTTCTGTCTCTACCTCTCCCAATGTATGAGATATTCAATGAAGACTCACTTTTAGTTCCATAACAAAGAGTAACAGCCAATATATTGGTAGAACCTAAGAATAATCTGTCTTCACAAATTGTCTGTCCTGAAGGCTAAACTGAAAATCCAATTAATGACTGATATAACTTTTGTTACCTGAACTGGAACAAACACGATTGCATAAAGCAAGGTAGAAAGATACACTGTCCCTTTTCTATTGTCTATCTCTAGTTCAAAGACTAATCTATGTAACTCAAAAATGGCAGGCTTGGTTCTTCAGCATGGAAACCACTTATTAGGAAGGCCCCATTGCTTCCCTTTACCCTAATATTGGAGTGAGCAGGACTGAAGCCATGTTGGGACCTCAAATCACATGGGTTCTAAAAGGTTTTTAAAAGATACAGGTTTTTTTCTTGGCATGGATTTCTCTGAGTTCCCTCTTTTCCCATAGTTATTTGACATTCTGGACCTTGGTTATACAGGAAGATGACACTATTTACATGAAGGCAAAGTTGTTTTCCAGCTGGCCTGGAGCTGCAGACTTGCACATATATCCAGACCCTGGGAAACCAAGGAAGATATCAGTAAAGCTATACTGATTCCACCCCTCCAGCAGGACCATGGGATACCAGCAAGGACAGCAGCAGAAACAAAACGAGCCTTGGTGAGACTGCACCTGGCCTCTTGCATGTCCCCCCTCCCTCCTGCTTGTCATTTCCCACATTCCATTCCCTCAGCTCCTCTTTAAAAGCCCCCTGAAACCCTAAAGCAGAGAGACAGTTCTGGTCTGTCTCCTCAGACATCTGATTATAAACTTCCTGCCTCACACCAACATTCGGGACTGACGAGTCTTTTGTTTCTGAGCAGAGAAGAGCAGGATGTGGATGCCAGTAACACTAAAACAGTACAGGGGATCCCCTGAAATGTGTGAAAGCTAAATGTGCCTACGTTAAGAACAAATGTACAACTTGTTATTGGGAATAATCTTCCCAAAGAGATTAAAACATTACAAATTATAAAATCCAATTGTTTTCCCTATATAGGTCCTGCCTTATTCAGAGTCGTGGTAGTCCTACCTCTGTTTCCCTAATTACTACCTAAATATCTTCCTTCCTATGGGCTTCCCCTCCCAGATCCCTCTTTTGCAGGGCTCTCCAATCTTTACATCTTCAGCCAATGAAGGCACGGATTCCTGAAACAAGGATGGGCTCAAATGACCCAGTTAGGAGCTCTCTATTTCCCTGTTCCTGGAAAACAAGCTAAATGGAGTCTCAGTCATCTACCCCCCGCATAGGCATGTTACAACTACCCAACTGAAGCTCCATGACTGGTTTTTACCAGCCAATCCTACACCTGCCCTATCCTATATGTACATGGGAAGGACATCATTGAAGTGAGAAAAGAGATGGAGGTGAGGAGAGTCCTGCCTTGGGGTATAGATCTATGCAGTTGGGCAACCTCCAGCCCTTCCAGTGCTTGAGTACTAAACCATCCTCTGTAAATTGGAGTGGAAGTAGATGATGCCACATTCCTATCTGCTGTAGAGACTCTTCCCAGTGGCTCAAATTATTTTAACAACTGTAATAGAAACCTTAAAGTTTGTCAGTTCCTCCAATTAAACAAACACAAAAAAGCGGCAACCCATTCACGACTCCCTTGAACCCCCTATTTTAATATGCCTTTCTAGATAACTCCCAATATCCTGTGTCCTTTTTTCCTGTAATTTACCTTTATCACACTTATTACAAATGCCAAGATTTTGATCTCTTTTCTAAAACCCTTATTCCTATCCAACCTAGTGTTGTTCCTTTTCAAACTTGATCCTTCCTCTGCTAATTCCATTCTTATCCTCTTCCGTTGGGTTCACTAGACGCACTCCCCTTTCTATGAGTAAAACACTCACCTACAGGATGAAAAATGCAAAGACTACTGAGCTTAGAATTAAGAAACCTCAGTTCAAATCTCACTTCTGCAGTTACTATAGCCACATAAATCACTTTAATTTCTTTTAGTTTCAGGTTCTCCATCGGAACAACCAGGATGTAAAAT